TCATATGATACTTATTCTAATGTTTTTATTATTTTTCATATGCTCTAAATTAATTTGCGCATACCACAAAATGAAAATATTGGCTAGATCATATTATTTTAATGCTTTCAGTACTCGATTAATGATAATCACAACAGTAAATGACAAAACAAGGGCCCRTCAAAATTAGTAAAAAAYAACTTTTTAAATCAAAATTAAATATTTATTACGAAATGATGCGTTAGTGCGTCTGTGTATAGTCGATTTATATTACTTAAACTCTATATTTACTTTTAAAATTGAACGACAATCAAAAACACTTAGGTATAGGCACATTCGTTATAATTTGATTAAAAATGGTCCAGAATGTAAAGATAACCGAAAAAATATATTACTAGAATCTAAAAATATTAAAATATACAAAATAAAATGATTAATTTCAGTTCCCTGAATTATGAATCAAGTTTTTATCTTACTCTGCTATATTTAAACATTTTATATGAAATATGCAAATGCTATAAAATCCCAGTCCTGCACCTGATAATAATTTATTTAAATTAAATAGTTTTGCGAGACCTTAACCCTCCTCCTTCACAACCACCACTGAACATGACACAGATAATTTCCATGCTGGCGTACTTAAATATATTTATATTAAATTAAAGCAAAAGTACATCGAACATAATATTATTTTTTTGATATAATTAGATAATTTATATAAATTATGCACACGGTTGGATCCCTATAATGTTACTTGATAGTATTTTTTATAAATAACTTATTACATAAAAATAAAATATAATTATTACAGTTTTTTTTTAATTCAATATTTTATTAATCAAAAACAGGTATAAAGTATATAAATACATATATATGTRTATATACAGATATATCAATAGAGTTAATATTATGATATAAACGATAAAAATATTATACAACTAAGCCTAATTTGTTCTTGATTTTATTTTTCTTGTTTTTCCTCAACATTCTGAGATGGCCTGTGAAAACATAGTTTGTGGTTTTAAACATTTCAAAAAATATTTGGCTTATTGCTAGGTGCAGATCCAATGGGGGATACCTTTAAGGGCTTTAATCTCTCCTTTGCAAATTGCATATATATTTTACAGGTAGTGTGTTTTTATTTATATAAATGTCTAGTCTTAAAATCTATAAATTGTTAATATTGTAATCAAGTCGTTTTTAGAATTTCATCGATAATCCAAATCTATATATCAAACTTATAATAGTATTTTTTCTGAAAAAAACTAACTCATTCATTATTTAAAAAAATTATCATTAAATATTATAATTTTAAAATTATGAAAATTATAATTTTTGTGCATACAAGATTACGCAGATTATGTAATAACCTTTACCTAATAACTACACMTTTGACTTAAAATGAAAATTTAAACGATAGTGATTTTTTAATCGAAACACGCTTTACACGAGAATATAACTGCCATATTAAAAATCGTATATGGTTTAGTAATATAAACGTTAAAATTAAAGTTCAATGCCCAGTCAAAAAATTTCTCTTTACAAACAATTTAAATTGTCAAATAGAGGCGTGAGAGTTTTTCCATACGATATGTTTTTGATCAAGAAGGGGTCACGTGTAGGCCCTTTAATAAAAACGTGTGCCTAATACAAATAATAATTGTGAGAAATATTATTAATTAAAGTTATAGGTAATTATTGTTTTCGTATAAGAAATAACAATTATTTATGCAAAATTTAGAACTTAATAGGTTATAACTAATACTTATGAGTTGTAAGTTTATGATTATAATTGATATATTTAAAAAATGTGTAAAATGTTTAGATTATTAGGTATGCAATATTGAGCAGTTAACCTATCGTTATTTTTTGAGGTTTTATCGATTATTCTCACAAAAGATTATTTTTCATACCTACTGTAATATTTAAAAAATCTAGATGTGACATAAATTACCACATAAAATATATTGCTATATTGATGAATCTCGATTTTAATTTATTTATTTCAGTCTACTTGCAAGTTTGCATCGGTGTTCCCTTTATGGACTAATAAACTAGGTAAATTTTCGAACGTGGTTCAAACTTCCAAACTATTTTAATGTAAAAAATGCTAAATTCTAAGAATAATATCTGAAATGCTAGGTTCTAACATAAATGAATTATTATTTGACTGAAAAATTGCACGTCACTAAATATCTTCAAAATTGTATAGTATAATATATTTAATATAATATATAGGTAGGTATAAGTATTATATTATATTTTAATTCAATAACTACTTAATATAAAAACAATTTTTGTGTTACCTATTAAAAAATATATGAAAAAGCATCTACAAGACTACATCTATTTATTTGAAAATTAACTAAATTACGACCAATATTGCATATTATGGAATAAAAAACAAAAACAAAATATCTATGCAAATTTAAAATACCAACAATTTTTGTATAAAAATGTCTAACTAAACCACATCTATGTATGATAGAAATTCCGAAATAACAGGCATCAAAATATCTAATAAAATTCTATATGATTTTAATATAATAAAATCTTCCAATTAATTTGTTTAAAAAATGAATTTTTTTAAATGGCTATTAGAATCATCTGATCAACCAATATTTCAGTAATGAGTAGCCCGAGTAGGTAGTCAATAATCATATATTAAGCGAATTGTAACCATTTACCATAGTCTAAGATCCTTTTTTCATWACTACCTATTGGCAATACATCTCTAAAATTCTATTTTTATAACGTAATATAATTCTAATATTTTGGTCATATATAAAATATAGATGTATTATTCAATGTAATTTGAAACTCATGTACCTCCTCTCCCACCAGTGTTGTAATTAGGAATTTGGTTTGGGAGGGTTTATACATTTTCAGCAAATTTAAGCCTTACACAGTAACCTACCCCACCAAATATAAAATGTTAGCAGTGAAATAAAAGTTTTTGGTGCGGATCTATCCCCCTTATACCCCTCTTAGTTATACCCTGCCTCCCACACGAGCGCCCACTCAAGTATTTTCAGTGGGATCTTCAGTAGGAAATTCATCTAATTATGTAAATAAAATAAAATAAATAAATTTAAAATAATAGGTATTGTAGCAGGAATATTGCTGGGTAATTACTTTTACTGTAGGTGTCTGTCATGTGTGCAATACAACACGGTTTGCTTGTTTTGAATTTATTTTTCTCGCAGCCAGGTTTAGGAGTTATACACGGATTCGTCTTAAAGCAGTGGCTATCGGTACACGCAAATTTAAATGTTACAACTTGATCAGAACATAAGTTTTGTCTTTTTTCCGTCTGCGTAGGGCATTCGAAACACGGATGTGTGACTGGTCTTAATGTTGTAGCGGTCATCGTGTCATACTTAAAATAAAAAAATCGAATTATAAGATTTAAGTCAATTGTATTTTATTCTTACTTCCTATATCTAAACTAAATGATAGTGGTTGGTACCTTCAGCGGGTGAAATACTGTTGCGGACGCTTTACCTTTTTTGCAAGACAATTGCAGATGATCACTATATTATGACAAAAGATATTATTTTGCACCCAAAAAATGACACAACTCCTGACGAAATTTAATCAAACGTTTCCAAGTTTTGTGATGCTATCTAGTCAAACGATTTTCAAATTTAATGATTGGATTATTGTTAGAATGTCTAGTGAGAATCGACAACAACATGATATAAGATATCTTGTATCTACATAATTACGTTAAGTAAGTAATAATATTGATAATAATACAAATAAAAATTCAAATTATTATAATTGATAATTAATGTATGACACTGGCATCGTAATTCTATAAAGTTTATAATAATATTATGATTATAAAAAAAAGTTAAAAATCAAAAATTAAAATGTTAGGTAGGTACGTATAAAAGTTAGAGTTTAAAAATTAAAAATAGCAACATTTATATATTTTTTCCTCTGTAATGACAACTAATTATTTTTAAATATTGAATACGTTTTGGTGATTTTTATAATCATTAAATCTCTGAATGGTTAATTTAATTAATATAATTTTAAGACGATAAGAATTCCCACATTGCCACATTATCGAAGTAGTATTTATAAATTTGATAACATGTGTCCGCAATCTTGTAATTTTCGGGGGCCCATAATTAAATTATAATCATTCGCAATAGTGTTATTAAAAAGGTCGCCCTGATAAGTACCATCTGTTGTCTGTAGTCGTGCATCGATGCCTTCAGCCACAAACAATAGTCGGCTATATTGATTAAATTTATTAATATTGAAATATTGATTAACTAGGTATTAATCCCAAAAATTTGTGTATATGTCACATCCACATAATTATAAACCTGCTATGTGTCTATTGGCTATAATACCTACATTGCTTAAAAACCAAAAGTATATGTCATGTGTATATTGTATATGTCACATCCACATAGTGAAACCACTCATTTCATAAACTGGATAATACCAATATCGTGTACTTTGTGTAATTATTATAAAACAAGATTTTCATGTTATTATATCATAGTACTATAACTATTACTATAATATAGGTAATTTTCTATATTGTGCTATTAACAAGAATATAGCAATTATAGTCAATAAACTATATCATATTAGTTTATATTTTTATTTTATTTTTCATAAATCATACGCATATTTATTTTATAAACGACTAACATTACTTTACTTGCATAACATACTTTTCAATATAAATAAAGATAGGTAATAATATTTTATCCRTGATCTATATTATGTGAGAGAGATATTAAATTTAATTTCGGTAATTCCACATCCGATATCAAATGAATGGTTACTTATCAGATGACTGTTGACGGATACCTATGTGCCATGTGGCTATGTAACTCCTAAGTTGTTCAAAAAATAACATTTAGGGCCATTCTTACAATGCTCGGTTAGTGCCTGATAACACTAACCGGAAGAATTTATCATGAGTTAACCGATAGAATTCTACCGGTTAGTCTTAACCGACACTTAACCGGACATTGTAAGAACGGCCCTTAGTGAGTAACCGACACGGATATAGATAGGTACTATGGTTGCACAACGAGCACGGATATGACGGCTCTAAATGTTCTTATCAAGAATTTAAAAAAAGTCGTGTGGTACTAGCGCCCTCTATAACCTTGTATATCATAATATTCTCGCGATTATATAAATTATAAAATTGTTTGTAAATCTAGGACCTAGGTTATATTTTGAATATGAATATGAATATTATTAATTTAATAATTATATTCATCACATGATTACTGTCTACTGTGTTGAATAGGTACTGATATTCTGTGTATTGAATACGTCTTATATTCTGCATTTAAAATATATACTTTTTAGTTATTTTATATATTTAATAAAATRCCAAAAAATTGTTGTGTGCGTGAACCCCATAATATTTTAACGCCATATTATAGTGTACCTAAAGATGAATTTAAAAAAATATTATGAGAAGCATCATTAGGTACGAAATTGATATGTATAAATTATATACATCAATATGTTTATATGTTTATTTATATGTTTATAAGTCACTTGCAGATTCCATATTTCCATGTAACAATAAAATTTTATATTCTGAACGAAGTGATGAATGTATTGAATTTACAATGATGTGTGTTTTTAGATTCTGAACGAAGTGATGAATGTATTGATTTTACAATGATGTGTTTTTTTTTAGATTCTGAACGAAGTGATGAATGTATTGATTTTACAATGATGTGTGTTTTTTTTGTGTGTCTGTGTACAGCATAACTAGTCGAAATAATGCTTCGATTTCAAACTTTGGGGGTGGTTTCGTTACAAACCTAAAACTATATTGACGTTAGGCATTTTAGACGATAATAATCCTCAATTCGCAATTGTAAAAAATGTTTTTCTTTATGCGGAAAACAGGGTAATTTTTGAGTGCAACATTTTAACGACAATCGGCTTTGATGAGCATGTTTACTKTTATGAAATAACATTACCAGAAACGGATATTATTCGTTATGTATTTCAGAATCTTCTCCTTTCTCATGTACCAAATACATTAAATGTTGTATCAAATGGAACAAAATATATTATTGTAAGAAGTCGTTTTTAAATTATGTTGTTGTTTTATTTATGTGAAAAATATATTTTATGTACCTACTTAAAATTTTAAAATACCTAAAACATAAAATTTGTTTGAAAATATATTATGTATAATAAACAATATAAGAAAATCAATTTGGCAGTCTTTATTTTATTTCACCATTTCTTCACCTAATTATAACCATTATACTTACAGTATCAGTGCTCAAATTAAAAAAATAATATGGTGATGCAATTAAGTAGAAAGTAATTATTGTTCCAATTTCACTTTAGGTTATAGTTTATAAAGAAAAATGGGAAAAACAATTAGAGGGGTGATGATAAAAAAAAATAAAAAAAGAAGAGCCCTCACAATTTGAGCACTGTACCGTCTAAATATTTAGTAATTTATTGTAACAGAAATAAAATTAATATTACCACTGTCTGTTTTGTAGAGATAACAGATCTAAACAACAATATTAACTAAATTGCATTGTTGTATTAATTATAGAGTATGTACTTACAACAAATGAGTTCTGTA